CCATGGCTTGTATCAGACGCACCTTAGTCTCCAGAGAGACACCATTGCTCTTCAGTACTTTAGAGAGGTCCATACCCTTCCAAAAATATTCCCCAGCCTTTGTTGCTGTGGTTTTTGACCATTGCTAGTTTTTGGTTCTTGCATAAATGAGCCTTGGTTGGTATAACTAGCATATCATTGGCAGAGATACTTTCCAAAATACACTTATCAAAGAAATTTTCTCAATCTAGCCAGGGACTTGGTAGAATGAAAAATCCTTCCTAAGGGGCTAATTTTGTTCAGTAAAAGAAAGGAAGACCGTCCCCATGATGGATAGACACAGTGATGCAGCAGTGGGCTTGAGCATGGTGGAGATCATGGCAAAGGAGAGGGTGATGTTCTGATCCATTCATAGGGTTTCTATGGGCCACAGTCCACTACAGCACCTATCAACAGGGGACCTAAGTCATTGATCCTCTGAGACCTCCGTTATCTGTGGGACGTTTAGATTATAATTGTGGCTACTTTCTTCAATTCTTTAATTAAACACTCCCAATGTTAGAAATCATGTTGGAGTTGTTATATTCAGCTAACTCTTCTAGAGTGACCGTTCTGAGCAGTAAAAAAGAGTAGGATTCATCATGGGAGACTTGCCCAGATCTACTGGTATCAACCAAATCATTACAGAAATCTGTGAGTGCTGCTTTTCCATTTCTCAAGCATCAGTGGACTGTGCTTGGTAAAGAGCATTCACAGGGAGTGGAGGGCTTCAGTCCACTCTCTAAGCTACCTGGGGCTCATAACCCTTGCCATCTCATCCTGGGACAGCTCTGTATTACCAACAACAGTGCCGGCAACCTTGTTGTTGTCACATACCATTGAGTGGATGCCAATTCATCGCCAAAATGCTGCCCAATCCTCTGCCAGCTTCACAATCTCTGCTGTTACTGCACCTAGCTGGTGCTAAATAATTATTTTCCAAATGGCTATTAAGTAATTCAGGATTATTAAGAAGATCCAAGCTCTCATTTTTATTCAAACATTCACTTTTTAGTGGGTTTGTCACTTAGTCTCGTGAAGTCTCATTTTCTCCTTTTTTTTTTTTTTTGTGAAAGAAGACATTAATTGGTTAATTGATTTCCAAATATTTCTTTAGCCACATAATAACTTTAACAGAACCTGCAATACTTCAGCAGAATATCCAAACAGACTGAGGAAGAGGCTTCTTGCTGAAGTAGGGAGCGGGCTACCGGGGTGACTTTGACCTTTTATGCCATCATAATGGTCCCTAAGGGATGCTATCAACCATAAGATCTTGTACAGTTTAATTCCAGGGTGGACTGGCGAAGGAAAAGGAGGAAAATGTGCAACAATGAATGAATGGAAATCCAAGCTTTCTGTAAACATGTGTTAAAACCACAGTCAAAAAAAGAGGGTTTGCCCAGTTTGAAAGCCACTGTCCCGATGTCCTTTCAACTTCACATTCCATGATTCTCAAAGAAGCAGCAAATAAGGATACTCCTTTCCCTAAAAAGAGAGAAAAAAGGTCCTCAGCGCTCTTTTCTCTTCTAGCCTCTCATGCTGTTCTGCAGAGGAAGCAGACAACTCATTTTTATCTTTGGTGCTTGGAAGGCACAGTCATAGTCATAGTCAACAGTCTCTCGGCCAAGAAAATGCCTTTTTTATGTCTGTCTGTCCTGCAGCAGCTCAACAAAGGGCAGAGGAAAGTTCTGAACTTCTGACAAATGCCAACAGAATGCTCTTCTCTGGAAGGGGTTTCCAAGTACAAAGCAAGGCTGCACAGGCCATCAGACAGTCCCCTGCAGGCTGTATCCTTGGGGCCTCAGCGCAGCCGGAGGGGCCACTTAAAACACAGAGACAGCCTATGACACATGCTGGTGGGCTAGGGGCACCTCCCTTTCCCTGTCTTTCTATCTTTGGCTGTGTGCACTCCTGTGCTTTTAAAGTCCTCTGGGCTCTTTGAATTTTGGTGTTCTTATCTAGCCTGACCCCTCTGGTTGCGTTGTGGCTTGGATCTAAGGAAGCTATTTTTTATAATTGTTACCAGGTTACCAGACAAAGAGAGAGAAACAGGAATAGTAAGAGAGCTCTTGACAACAGAGAGGCAGAAGAGAGGGTCTGGAGGGTGCGTGGAAGAGGGGGTAAAATACAACTGTGATTTTTTTGGATGAACAATTGGAGACTAAATGGTAACAGAGTTGTGGATGAAGTCAGACTAGGACGGACGGCATACCAAAGCTTCCTTCCCATCCCACTCTTCTTTGTACCATGGAGATCTCCAGAAAATAAGCCTAACTTAAGGGGCAGGGAGAGAGCTCTGATGGCCTAGTGGTAAGAACTTGCACTGCAATTTCAAAGGTTCAACGTTCAAATTCAACAGCTGCTACATGGGAAAAGGATGGGCAATCTCCTTCCATGCAATTTACTGCCTCTCGAAAACCCAATGGAGGATCAACTATGAGTCTGTTACAACTTGACAACAACAACAATGATAGGGAGGGGACCTCGAACTAACTAAAATTGAAGTTCACCTGCTGGTGAATATAAAGTTGGGGGGAAGGAACACTCCTTGCACACCTGAGTCTGTGGATGGTGATAGGCCCTCCTCTCAAACTCTCTCTCTCTCAAGGTTGTAAACTGTGCAGGAGAGTGTCCATTTTCTCCTCTGGAGTAGCTGGTGTATTTCAACTGTCTGACTTTGGGTTGGCAGCACAATTCCTTACCCAGTGGGCCATCAGAGCTGCTGGAAAGCCCTTCATTGGGAAGATCTCTTAGCCCTGCTGCCATTTTCAGAATCCCCTAATCTGATACTGACAGGAAGGTTGTCAGATGTTTTCATTCCAAAGACCCATTAGGGCCTGCTAGCAAAATTGGACTGGTCACTGGGTGTTGAGGCCAATTTCCCCCACATAATTCAAGAGAGAAAACGATCAACAACCCCCTGAACTGCAGTACAGTAGTCCCCAAGCTGCCAGCAGTACCCTCTCTGTAGCTATAAATGCCATCTGCCTGGCTTTGGGTCTTTAATACCACCAGCTTCCAATCATCCTCTGGTGGCACACGAAGAGCTTTCTTTTTGGAAAAGGAAATGTAATCATAGCTATCACTCCAAATTGCCACCTTTCCCGTTTGCTCTCCATATCACCTCAGCAAGAGGACGCTCTGCTAGAGCTTGGGTTAGGAATGATCCTTTCTGGCCTTGTCTCCATATTTCTTTTCAGGGAGAGCTGTCCCTTTGGGGATGTAACATTCTAATAAATCTGTCTTAACTATTTTACCCTCTCTTCTACCTCCTCACCTTTTTTCTTCCCATGCTCATGCTCTAATAAAAAGCTTTAGCCATGCCCTAAAGCCTGCTCCTCCAGGAAACCCTTAGATTGCAGTATACAGTGCAGCCTTGTGAATGTTTAGGTTCAGTTCTCTCCAGTCTCTTCCACCTGGTACAATTCCTTTGCCCATGTGAGAGGGGTGAACTAGGGCATTGATGGAACAATAGCATTCTGGTGGCCAAAACCTGAGATAATTAGAGAAGACAGATTTTCTACCATCATCAAGTAAACCCAAACATCTAATTGGAAGAACAGTGTAAGTACCTAATTCCAGCTACAGAAGACATGCTCCTGACTGCATGGACCAATCAACTTGAAAACTGAAGCTGAAATTCAAAGAGTTCCTAAAAACCTGGCTGACCAGCCTCCTGATCAAAGAAAGCATTCATAGATAGCAAGCAGTCTTGACTCCATGCATTCTACATTAAGAAGATGGCTCTACAAGGATACTGGCTTCTGCAACCCTGCTTCCGAACTCTGTGCCTGTTGATGCATTTGGCTTAGTAGTCAAGAGTGTCTAGGGACCCACAAGAGGAGAGACTGGAAACCCTTGCAGGCAGGACAATGCCCGGTTCCAGGATGAAACAGCTAGAGAAGTCATCATCCAAAACCCTGAAAGATTTTAGGGGCATGATCTCTCCAGAAGGGAATGCTAGAATTGGAACCAAGAAAAGAGGCAAAATTTATGCTTGGAGAATGAAATCAGAACCAAGAAGCCAATATTGATTGACATGCAAAAAATAGGTACTTTAGGCACTAATGAGTCATGTCGGAAAGAGTGGACACTTTGGGCGCATAAATGACATCAGAGAACAGGAACCAGACTGAGATCCACCCGCCAACCATTGACCTTTCTGTGGCATCGTACCATTGGCCAGACTTCAGCCCTGAGGCCCATCCAGCGAAGGAGGCCATAAACAGAGCCTCACCTCAGTAGCACGGGGTCTCCCCTCCTTATTTCTCTTCAGGGAGGGCGGTCTATCCCTTTGGGGATGGACCTTTCCAATAAATCTATCTTTAGTATTTAGTCTAAAAAAAAATAATCTTTTCTACTATGCATTGTTAGCGGCTTCCACCTTTCATGAAAATGGAGACCACATGTGTTGTTGGCAGAAAGATAAAAGAAAAATGAAGGCTTACAAACAAAAGAACTGCCTTTCATGCTTTTCGGGGTGGATGACCTATCCTTCTATTGTTATATCTCAGCTCTTTTACATTTAATGTGGCCTCATTTTTAAACAGGGAGCTCTGGTGGCCTAAAAAACTGCTAACCCTATGGCATGTAGTTCGAATCCTCCAGCTGCTCCTTGGGCGAACGATGGATAATCTTCTCCCATGTGATTTACAACCTCTAGAAAACCACTGCTAGACGTCATTTCTGACTAGATGGCACATAACAATAATAACCACATTTAAAAAATATATAATGATGAAATTTTAAAAATATATGATGTTGATGTTTTTGCTTGGCCCCAGGGCTTACTGTAGGTAGTCAAAGGTATTAAAGGGAAAAGGCTTTGGGTTATGGGTGGTGAGTATCACGTGACCCCAGGGGGACTCATTTCCAAATCTCAAGGTGGTTAATCACAGATCTGCCTATTCTGAGATGCTGTCAGGACACCCCAGGTGGGGCCAAGGCCAGGATGGCAGTTAGTAGGAGGTGGGACTTACGGGTCGAGGAAGGCTGTACTGGTACATTTCTGGCCGGTAGGTGGGCACCCACTGCACCCCTGCCCGGGGCCGTGTCATGGTGCCGGGGGCGCTGGTTACCACCTCTGAGTAGGGGAGGTGCTGTGCGGAGCCATAGGCTTCCTGGTGCCGGCTCTGGCCCCCGTGGCCCGCGGACGCCAGGCTGAAGGCCTCCTCCAGCAGCATGTGCATCTGCTGTCTGACCTCGTCGATGGAGGGCTGAGAGCTCAGTGTGGAGGTCTCCGAGTGGCCTTTCACCTGCCGGGACCTCGTGTAGCCCCTCGGCTCATTCACTCTGTCCACGTTGGTCTCCTCTATGATTTCAGGCTCAGTCTGTGAAAGAAAAAACAAGACAAAACAAAACAACCCCATTGATTGACTGATTAACTTTCCTTTTCCTTATGTGTCTGTGTTCATTAAAGTGACATCATATTAAGTTTGACTCTGTTCCATTTAGGAACTTATCGTATCGGGCAATATAGGGCAACCAGCTAGCACTGCGTCAGTGAGGCCAAACTCTGGCTGCTGGCTGTCCATAGTCACAGCCTGACTGATGCCTCAGGCTTTATAACTAGTCTAATGATTGGGAGAACAGATTTTCACTGATGGAATGAGTCGTTTTCTCTAAAATCTTTTAGAGACTATTTCTGCCATCATACCTTTTAGATGTAAGAATCGAGAGTCTAGTATTCTGTATCCTAAGAGAAGGCACCTTACACTAACTCTTTGCAAGGTCCCCTGTCTTGCCATTGGTTAGGGAATGCTGATGGTTTGATATTAATTATCAGAGAGAATAGCAAAATGTTGTTCTGTTGTCCAAGAGTGGTGCCCCTCTAAACCTGAAGCTGAAACTCTAGGCAGAACATAAAAATCTGTGCTTTACCAAGCTCTCTGGCTGATTCTGATGCCCATTCCACTTTGAGACCCACTGATCTACAACATTCTCTGGTTTCCTCCAGTGAACCTTTCCTGAGGCAGTGCCTGCAGCACCCCAATGGAGAGTGAGCTGGGACTTCATGGAGCCGCCAAGCTGCTGGGTGGGCTGTCACAAGCCTTGCTTCCCATGAACATTGGTCTAGCAATTACACGTGTGGCAGGTTTTGATATGCAACTTTTCTTCCTGATAATCCAACAAAGGAGCTTTGGGGGGAAGTTAATTCACATCCACTTTAGTGATTTCTGTGGCAACTACTGTCTGCTAAGAGAACCTGAGTTCTGCATAAATAAATTTATTTAGGCCATTTTGCCAACCCACATCCCATGCAGTCTGCCAACCCACTCCCCATCCATTTCCTGAGCTATCACCTTTAAAAAAAAAAAAGGAAAGATAAGTAAGAGGAATAAGAAAATATGATAATTAGATTCTAAGCTGCTAACCAGAAGGTCAGTGGGTCAAGTCCACCAGCAATAAATTAACAGCTTCCTCAATGAAAGATACAGTAGTCTGCTTCTGTGAAGATTTAAAGCCTTGGAAACCCTATTGGGTAATTCTCCTGACCTGCATGTTACTATGGCTCTTTTGGGGACATCTGCTTTTCTAGCTACACTGCACCTGAGTCTACAATGTTCATCAGTCTCTGCAAAACTGGCCTGCATACCTACAGTCACGGTAGTCATTCCCCTGACAGCGTCTGAGTCTCTGGAAGACCTTCCAGCAAACCACTAAATCCAAGTGAAACAGAGGAGGGAGGGAACTGAACAAACTATTGATGTTGGAAACCATGGAGTTATACAGAAAGTCAAGCATTTGGGACAATGCTAACTTAGCACTTCTTGTGACTTGTCTCTAGAGAGCTCTGGCAGCCTAGTGGCAAGAAGCTGTGCTGTAATCCCAAAGGCACAAGGTTTGAGGTCACCAGCTGCTCAGCAGGAGAAGGAAGGGCAATCTCTTCCCATGCAACTAACTGTCTCTGAAAGCCCGCCGGACGGTCAGCTATGGGTTGGTTTTGACCCTACGGTACAAAACAACATGTTACTATGAGTTGAAATCAATAGCAATACGTTTTATTTGGGTTTTTTTTTAATCATAAAATATATTATTTTTACTTTTAAACATGGAGGCATATTTCTTCCACTCCCAAATCTATCTACATGCGTACACATTTATGTCTGTGTGCACCTGTGTGTGTGCCCATTTAAAAAGCTATATTTATTCAGATCCCAATTTTAGTTGGTTGTTATTATTACTTTAAAACTACTTGGTGACTACTCCTGGGTAGTACAGTCTGTAACACATTATGCTGTTAGCTCAAAGAACGGTGGTTTGAATCCAGTGGTTCTGTAGGAGAAAGATGGGCAGTGTTCTTCTCAGAAACCCAGTAAATGTCCCTATAAGTCAAAACCAACTAGATGGCAGTGAGAGTTTTAAAGATGCGTTCAGATTGTAATTCTGTTTGCTTGTTATTTTTATAAAAACTATTTAGTGAATATTGTCTTTGAGTCTCACCACTTCTATGACTTAGGGCAATGTCAAAATACAGTCCTTTAACACAACATGGGTGACCCAGAGGACATTATGCTGAGTGAAATATCACAGTTATAAGGGGACAAATACTGTACAAACACCATGGTTATAAAGCAGAACTGACATGTGGGCCTGGGGGGAGTCTAGGAAAAGGATTGATAGATAATAAACATTGCATTGGAAGAGATAAGGGAAAGAACTGTTTAAAAGGAATATATGGTTAGGCATTATATTTATAATAACACTTCAGAATAAAAGATGCATTGCAAAGTGGACTGGGGGAGGAAGAAGGGAGGGAAAGAGAGAAAATAGTGTAAAATATCACATGTAAGCAAAATACTGCTGAAGACGATCCCAAAATGACTGGAATTGACAGAGAACTACCAGAAATACAAGCTGTGTTTAGAAGAGGTCGTGGCACTAGAGACATTATTGCCAATGTCAGATGGATCTTGGCAGAAAGCAAAGAGTACCAAAGGAATGTCTATCTGTGTTTCATTGACTATGCAAAAGCATTTGACTGTGTAGATCACAACACATTGTGGCTAACCTTGAGGAGAATGGGAATCCCAGAACATTTGATTGTGCTCATGTGAAACCTATACTTGGATCAGGAAGCAGTCCTCAGAACACAGCAAGGAAACACTACATGGTTCAAAATCAAGAAAGGAATGTGTCAGGGAGGCATCCTGTCTCTACCTTTTCAATCTATGGGCAGAACAGATCATTTGGGAGGCTGGGCTTTATGATGAGGAATGTGGCATCAGGATTGGAGGGACACTCATCAACAACCTACATTAGGCAGATGACACAACCTTGCTTGCTGTAACTGAGGAGGACCTGAAGTGCTTGCTGTAGAAGGTCAAGGACTGTGGTCTTTAATATGGATTGAAGCTCACCATCAAGAAGACAAAGATTCTCACTAGTGGGTAGCACCATGATAGATGGAGATGAGATTGAGGTTGTAACAATTTCAGCTTGCTTGGCCCCATCATTAATAATCTTAGCAACAGCAGTAATGAAATCAAATGATGAATTGCACTGGGAAAATCTGCTGTCAGGGACCTCTCCAGAGTATTGAGAGGCAACAATATCAACCTAGAGCCTAAGGTGTGCCTAATCCAGACCATGGTCTTTGCCATTACTTGCTGTGCATCAGAGAGATGGAAAATGACTAAGTATGACAGAAGAATCAATGTCTTCAAGTTGTGGTGCTGGAGAAAAGTCTTGAACATACCATGGGCTGCCAAGAAAACAAATATGTCTGTTTTGGAGAGGATGAAACCAAGTTTCTCCTTGGAGGCTAGAATTTTGAAGCTCTGTCTCACATACTTTGGACATGTGGCCAGGAGGGACCAGTCCTTGGAGAAGGACATCACACTTGGTAGAGTGGAGGGACAGTGCAGGAGAGGGAGACCCCAGATGAGATGGATTGATACAGTAACTGGGGAAATGGGGGTTAGTGTGTTGGAATTAGTGAGACTGGCTAAGGACAGGCTTCAGAGCTGCTGTACATAGGGTTGCTGTGAGTTGTAGATGACTCAGTGGCACATAACAACAACAATTTTTTAAAAAAGAAAGTGAAGGGAGAGAGGGAAGATGGCGGAGGTGGAGAGCACAGTGTGAAGAGCCAGAGGGATAGCAGCCTGCGTAGAGAGGATACCAGAGAGTACTTTACGCTCCACAGAGACTGACCATCACAGCGTGACGCGAACAGTAGGATTTTGAATCAGAACTTTTGCTAATACATTATTTTAGAAGCTTTAAAAACCGGAGCCCTGCCTGCCTGCCCTGCAGCGGTCCCGCAGTGGTCCCACCACGGACCCAGCAAAAGCTGGAATCCACAAGCTGAGCTGAGCTGCATTGAGACTCACCTGAAAGGAAAAAGGTTAGTGGGGAAATCGGCTGAATTCTCTTGAGCCCACTAAAACCTGGAGGGTCTGAGGTGCGGCGTGGACCATCGGAATTGAATCATAACTTTTGTCGAAACTTTTAGTATTAGAACTGTGGGAACAAAGCCGCGCGGACTCGGCAAAAACCGGAAGCCACTAGATGAGCTTCTAAGAGACCCATTTGAAAGGAGAAAACTTAGTGGGGAAATTGGCTTATTTCGCTTAAGCTCCACTAAGACCCAGTGGGTCTGTTGCATGACGTGGACAGTAGAAATTTGAATCAGAACCTCTGCTGGAGTGGACTAAGAATGAGCTAATAGCCTCAGTTGCAATCCGGACCACTTTTCGGTTGCACTGCAGATCGGCAAATGCCGGAATTTGCAAGCTGAGCTTCTGAGGGACCCATTTGAAAGGGTTAACCTTTGGGGGGAAAGTGGCTGAATTTTCTAAAGCTCCACTAAGGCCCAGTGGGTTTTTTGCATGATGGAGACAGTAGGAATTTGAATAAGAACTTTTGATGGATTAGAGTTGGAACTGTACGAAATCAGCCGGGGTTGCATTCCGGTCCACATTTCAGTGCACACTCCAAATCAGCAAAAGCCAGAAGCTGCTGGACCCATTTGAAAGGGGAAAGCTTAGTGGGAAAATTGGCTGAATCCTCTTAAGTCCCACTAAGACCCAGTGGGTCTGTTGTTTGACGTGGACAATAGGAGTTCTAAAAAGAACTTTTATTGATACAAATAGTTTTAGGAA